TGTGTGTGTGTGTGTGTGTGTGTGTGTGTGTGTGTGTGTGTGTGTGGTGTGCCTGCTTGTGTGTAACTTCAGGCAAGTGTCCTTAAAAAGAAAGTACGTACTTTCTTCTCCTCTCCCCTTTCCCTTGACTTCTTTGGAATAAGGACATGATTGCTGGAGTTCTGGCAGTCACTTCAGGTGACCCAGGGAATGGATACCTTGAATGAATGTGGTGATAAAGCTAAAAGTCAGACTGTAGGATGCTGATGATACACACAGTTGTCATAACAGCAACAGGCCACCTGCCTCTGACTGTTGCCAACAGCTCTTTCTGGCCCTTGCTGCTAAGTAGCATCCCAGCTAATTCAGGGTTGTTTTATCCAGGCTGGGCTCTGGTTTAGAGTGCAGTGAGCAGCCAGTTTGAACACTTAGAGCTTTATTAAACTACAGTTGAAGCCCACAGACTTTCCCCAGTGACATTTTGTGGGATAATCTTTCTTCCTTCCTCTCCCAATCATTTGCACAAACTCTTTCTAGGCCATACTATGGCCTTTAAAGAATTTCCTATGCTCTCTGTAAGGCCCCCTTTTAAAGTCCCTGGAGTTGGTCTTTAAGTAAAAACACGGTCTAAAATACTCCTTGGAACTTTCGTTAAGTCTGAAAGAAGAAACCGTCAGGGGAAGGCACGCCTATGAGTCTGCTTACCCCATTGCTTAGAGTCACAGTGCTAAGACTGTGTCCCTCCTGCCAAAATGGGCCAAGTCCTGTGGGTCTTTGGAATTTACTTGGAATTTCATAGGGATGCTGTTCTTTGCTTTAAAAAAATATTGCCCCGGAGCATCAGTATAAATGAACGTTCAGAATGCACTTAAACTAAGTCTGTAGGCTCCAAAACTCCATCCTGAAGAAACAATATGGCACTTAATGACCCACTCAGAACAAGGGGCTGGACATCTTAACCATTTGTGCAGGTCCCAGGGATTTATACAGCACCAAAAACCAACTCTTCTAAAAATACTTGACTTATTGGAGCTTTTACTTTTTGTTTTTAAACTCCAAGAGATCCAGAGTCTCTTGTATTTTAACAGCCATAACAATATGGAGAAGATGGCCTCTCACACATGGATACACCACACGTGTGCACAAGAGACCCACACATTATTAATACTAGTTGTCTCATCCTAGTCACGGCAGTCAATTTAGTTTCCATTTGCTAATCCGAAGACAGGTCATGAACGAAAGAGGGAAGGCACTTATCTACTCAAGGTGGTGCAAAATCCTCCCTTTGAAATGCAGTGCTTGCCTTCTGTTAGGCAGGGCCTTGCAAGGGCACCTGGGGCATGCCAAAGGTTAATCTCAAGATACCTCGTCTTCCTTGAGTTTGCAGTGATGGTGAAGAAGAACCAGGTCGGAAGTCTGCTTCTCCAGGATCGACTGGTACTGCAGGAGGGAGCAATAGGAGCTCTGAAGCTCCTGCGTGCGGAACTCCAGCTCCTGTTGCAGGGCCAGCAGCTTCTTCTTCAGTTGCTGTAGTTGCCGCAGATGACACTGCTTATTGGACCTGAAGTCTATCTGGGTCTCCCCGAATGTCAGTATCTGGGCTTGATTCTTGTTCTGTAGCAGACAGGATGTACAGCACAGGGTTAGAGGTCGCAGAGCACACAGTCAGGGTTAGAGGCTGCAGAATGGGCAGTCACTCTTTGGCCTTTTTGCATTTGCTCAAAATTCGTTCACACCCAGCTCTCTGCCCTTGGATGTTTTCATCCACAGAGAAAATTCTAAACGTTTCACTACATTCCTTGAGCACCGTATCCCTTCACATTCTCACTCTGCAAGAAGGAATCAAAATAAGCAAAAATGATTCTTTAAAAAATTTAAAATGACATCTGTTAATGTGTGTGTGTGTGTGTGTGTGTGTGTGTGTGTGTGTGTGTACATTCTCTCTTCCCCTGACAGTACACAGCTAACCCACACTCTTCCTGAAAGGCTTCTGGATCATTCACCGTGTACACGGAACCCCCTCTCTGTCCCATGTCCTCTGCTGACAGGACACATCCCTGAGTTATTTTACCAGGAAAATTGAAGTTTTGCTTTGGTGCATTTCTTATCCTCACCCGTTATGACAATGACATGTGGAAGGGGTAGATAATGAGGTGGTGGTCTTAATTAGTTTCCATCTTTCCACTCGTTCTTCAAGGCTCAGTTCATATCTCTATCTCCTTGTTGGGCTTGTTAACCTGCCTTTGTTGTAGGACTGTAGACCTACCGGCACATTCTTTTTGTGCTGTTTCTTATTTTGCTTGAAATTACTTCTGTGTGTCTTTTATTCTACTTACATTATAAACACCCACAGAGTAATGACCATGTCTGTTCCTACAGGGTATAGATGAGAGATTCATGCATAGCTCTGTATTTAGATGGAAGCAATGAAAGCCTGGCCTGGGAAATTTTGTTGACTCTCAAGACTTCATTGTATGGCCTTGGTCTCACTAACAGAATGCATTTAACAAAACAGCATTTAAGCATGATTTGGAATATTTCTTTATTTTCTTTTTTTTAAATTTTCATATAATGCTTTATCTCCCTCAGTGATTTTGGGTTGGAACTAATCTATTGGAGGTGCAGCAAAGACAGTCCAAATTTTCATTTAAATAATTTTTTATAATTTTTATTTGAATTAGAAAGATTATTTTACATGTCAATCCCAGTTCCCCCTCCCTCTCTCCTCATCCCCTGTCCCTGTCAACACCCTACCTATCCCATACCCTTTCTGCTCCCCAGGGAGGGTGAGGCCTTCCGTAGGGGGGTCTTCAGAGTCTGTCATATCCTTTGGGATAGGGCCTAGGCCAACCCCCTGTGTCTAGGCTCAGGGAATATCCCTCTATGTGGGTTGGGCTCCCAAAATCCATTCCTATGCTAAGGCTAAGTACTGATCCACTACAAGGGGCCCCATAGATTTCTGCAGTCTTCTCACTGACACCCACATTCAGGGGGTCTGGATCAGTTCTATGCTGGTTTCCCAGCTATCGGTCTGGGGACCAAGAGCTCTCCCTTGTATAGATCAGCTGTTTCTGTGGGTTTCACCAGCCTGGTCTGGACCCATTTGCTCATCAGTCCTCCTCCTCTGCAACTGGATTCCAGTTCAGTTCAAGGTTTAGCTGTGGTGTCTGATTCTACTTCCACCAGCAGCTGGATGAAGGCTACAGGATGGCATATAAGTCAGTCATCAATCTCATTATCAGGGGAGGGCATTTAAGGTAGCCTCTCTTCTGTTGCTTAGATTGTTAATTGGTGTAATCTTTGTAGATCTCCAGACATTTCCCTAGTGCCTGATTTCTCTTTAAACCTATAATGGCTCTTTCTCTTATGGTATCTCTTTCTTGTTCTCTTCTGTTCTCCCCCCAACTCAACCTCTCTACTGGATCATGTCCTCCTCACCCCTTCTCTTCTCCCTTTCTCAATTCTCTTAGTTCCATCTCCCCTCCCCCCATCCTCCCAATTTGCTCAGGAGATCTTGTCCCTTTCCCCTTTTCCAGGGGACCATGTATGTCTCTCTTCGGATCCTCCTTGTTTCCTAGCTTCTCTGGCCGTGTGGATTGTAGGCTGGTAATCCTTTACTCTATGTCTAAAATCCACATATGAGTGAGTACATACCATGTTTGTGACTGGGTTACCTCACTCAGAATAGTTTCTTCTAGTTACCTCCATTTGCCTGTGAATTTCAAGATTCCATTGTCCCCCCCCCCCAGCTGAGTAGTACTCCATTGTGTAAATGTACCACATTTTCTCTATCCATTCTTCAGTTGACGAGCATCTAGGTTGCTTCCAGTTTCTGGCTATTACAAATAATGCTGCTATGAACATGGTTGAACAGATGTCCTTGTTGTATGAATGTACTTCTTTTGGGTATATGCCTATGAGTGGAATTGCTGGATCTTGTGGTAGACTGATTTCCAATTTTCCTGAGGGATTGCCATACTGATTTGCAAAGTGGCTGTACAAGTTGGCACTCCCACCATCAGTGGAGAAGTGTTCCCCTTTCTCCATATCCTCTCCAACATAAACTGTCATTGGTGTTTTTTATTTTAGCCACTCTGACAGGAGTAAGATGGTATCTCAGAGTTGTTTTGAGTTGCATTTCCCTGATAGCTAAGGATGTTGAACACTTTCTTAAGTGTCTTTCAGCCA